TTAATTCATGTAACTAAATGTACAATAGAAGTAACATTCAGTTCTCATTACAACTTTGAATGAAGCCAAGTTTCAAAAGCTCAAAATACTTAGTGAAACAAAACTTCTCTTCTGGTCACAGCTCTAGTAAATTAATTTAAGCAGGCTTTGGGATAGGCCTAAAAATCAGGTGAAAACAAAAACTGTTATTGAATCCATTTGACTCAGACTTCTAACCCACTGAACTGGGACTTTAGGTACCTAGGTTCTGTGCCTGGATCACTATTTCTGTGTTATATGTGACAGATCTCAGGAGAAGTGAGCCATGGTCTTGCAAGCCCCCACATTAGGCAGCTAGAAGAAAGCAGACATGAAATAAAATGGTTGTGGAGCCATTCAATATTTTCTATGTGACCTGGGTAAGTCAGTTATCCTTTCTGGAACAAAGTTCCTCATAGCAAAATATTTCTCTGTCTCACAGACAAGGGGGAATTAATTCAGTTTACATGGTGTTCTTTGATACTACACTAATAAGCATCATGGATAAGCCTATAAATAAAAGTCTGAATTTAAGTGTTCAAAATCAAAAATTGTTTACATTTTGCCACAGTTTTAAGAAAAAGCATGGACAAAATCTACTCTTAGGGCTGTATGATTTTTTCAGATCAGTTCCAGACAGATGTTCAGCTTTCTCTGCATGCACGGAGCTGCCACTGTTATCATTCCATTCATGTAGGAAAAACACCACATCAGAGTCAGAGGCTGTTGTGCAGCTTGGAGAAGAATTTTTTACCAACAAAATTAATCTGTGTTTATTTCTCATAGGCCTTCCCTAGTTTCTTTTTTAAAAAGTCCCATGAAACAATCCACATTAAAGGATGTATTCCTCATTGTCACTGACAAAGGGAGCTATGCACAAATGAGTCATGTGATATCTCACTGTTGACATGATCTCCTTAGTTATCATTTAAAAAGGAACATCTTTTAGGTCAACAAGATATTCCTTTGTAAAAAACATGTCAAATTATAAAGGAAAAACAAATTCAGAACACCATGCAGTTGCTGTACAAGAGTGACAGATCCGCATTTGTGTTCACTCCACTGGCTTTTTGAAGACCCAGCGTGCCACAAAGGGGGTCAGCTATTAGGACAGGAGAAATAATAAGGAGTTTGAAAAGAGAGGGATTCTTGATACGTTAGCATTAGAATATCCTTTTAGTTCCTGCAGTAAAAAAGCATAAAGAATGAAACAGTTTCTAAAATTCTGCCAGGAGCAGTTAAATAAGAGTAAATCTTGCACAGTCACAGCACCTGAATGAACACATCACTTTATGAGAAACATCTCTCAACTTGCCTACTGCTTTTTGAAAATGAAATTAAAAATTATTATAAACTGTTAGATGGTGTGCTTCATATTTAGTACTCACATTATACAACAAAGATGTGCTTCACTAATAAATCCCTATTATAGCATAGCTAAACCGGCAAGTACCTCAGCACTGCCAAACAACTCTTAATATTTTAGAAGTGTGAACACACCTTATTTTAGAAAAATTTGCCTGAACAAGACCTAAATGATTACTTGTGCCTCATATAGAAAAAAATATTTATAAGAATCCATGAAGTACAAATGTTTGTTTTTACAAAGATTTTTCCCTCCTACTTTAAAAAAAAACCCCAAAACCCTTCAAATACTGGCTCTTTTTTATGCATATTTATACCTTGGCTAAATCTTTCTCATACTATTTATATAATGTAACTACTCCATACAGCCTGTAGGGACATATGCTGGAACTATTCCACATACAAAAAAATTCTTCTATTGAGTTCAAAGGGTATTTGGTATATGCAATAATAGCTAAGTCATGCCCTTAGGATTAATCTGTACACACCATAATGTAAGAAAAAATAACTCAGTTGAAGCACAGCATATCTGCACAAGTGAGCTCACGATCAGACCTTTACAATCTGTTTTTTGGGAAGTGATTATGTGTTATCTTTTTGATAACGCAGTGAGAACTATTAGCATCTAACAGATCAGTGCAGTTCCAAGAGGAAGCTGTAAAATGCATAGGAAAGGGTGGAATATATGTAGAGAAAAACTCATAAACACAAACTTTTGAACAATTAGAAGAAGTCATGTGCTCAGGTCCTAGTGAAACAGCATTCTTCTACTGCTATCCATTGAGTTCCACTGATTCACAGCAGCTAAGAACCTGGCTATGAGTGCACTAGTTAAGACCACCATTAATAGACTTACAGTGGACAATGGGTACCTAACAGTGTGCAGAGAAAATCCCCAGATCTGTTTAAGTTGCTGGCATAATAGGCCAATCTTTATATGAGGGTGAGTAGAAACATGGTAGCAGTCAACCTGACAAAAAAATAATCTTAAACATCAGCCATTAAACATGTCTTGTTTCAGCTATTTTGCTCTTCTACATAGCCATTATGAACAAAGTAAAACCCACCTACGCACTGACATTTCAGCGTCCTGATCTCCCTTACAACATATCTAAGGAAAGCAAAGCAATGAAGGATATGTTTCAAAATGTGAGTACAGAATGCTATAGAACTGATAGCATCTTGTAGTCTTCCCTACACACCATTCCAGCTTAGTCATTAAAATCTATTTCTCAGTAAAAAGATCCAGTGTATATCCCATTTCCCATTACTAGACAGCATGTTGTGCTGCCAGCACAGAAGCTATGAAGCTATCAGACTGAGAGCAACTCAGGTAATGGTATAAGTAGTTTCAGCTGATATTTACTCTGCTCGGTCTGGTGCAACCTTAATAAAGGTTTTAAATCATAAGGGCAATTTCTGCCTGCAGTGGTCAAAGCATAATGCCCCTGGGTTGCAGGGAATCAATAATGGCAACAACGTAGCGGGAACGAGGTCAGTGGCCAGGCTTACAAAAAATATGGCCATAAAATCCACACAGATCTTGGAAGGAAATCTATCCCCAAAAAACCACGTGGCAAACCGCTATTACAATCTTCTATGGAGTCTGCCATTATGGCCGCCTAGCTGTTTTAAGCCCCGGTTTCCGGGTTAGATCATTACAGAATTACATTCCTTGCAACTACGCATAGTTCCCTTCAGCAAAGCCCACTTGTTCATGCCAGCTTGACGTATGAGAATTTTACCCTTCCTGTCTTAGCAAACATTTAGGCTCCAATAAACCGCCCTGCCTATGCACCTCAGTGTACAATGAAAATTATAATTATTTTTTTATAATCTGAGTAAAGATAAGTCAATGTGAAGCCTTTATTTTAAGCAACTGATTATTTTTAAGTGTCCCTAAAATGTCAAAAGGAAGGTAACATTTGAGTATGCGCCATGTAACCTAGTTTCATCAATTTCTCTAGGAACAGCATTAGGCTTTGAGTTCTATTTGAAATTTCCAGATCTTGCAACTACTTTCAGGGCAGCAGTTTGCCAGGCAACTGCAGAGCCTGCTTAAACCATGTATTATAATTTCCAGATGCTGGGGTGCAAATGTAAGAACATCCTAGAACTTTCATTACTATAAGCGAAAGCATTTCTATAAATCTAGTTTACTTTCCATTCCTTACGCAATGTCACCGTTTTACTTCATTCAGCTTCAGCAATGGAACAAGTCAGTCAGTTTCACTTCCTGATTTGACACTGCAATGTTTAGACTACAAGCACTAGGCAGACTTATTTACCTCCAAATTAAGGTTGTCATAAGAACAATTCTTCTAGTGTAAACTAGTCTTACTGAAACTTGTTTTGGAACAAAATTAAACACAACAAAATTTAAAATTAAACTCCTTAATCTGGGGTTTAAGCAACCTGCTAATACTTTACTTTTGCTTTCACTCCTGGCCATTAGATGCAAGATCCTGTACACAATGAAAGCAACTGGAGTTTTTCTACTTCCTTCACTGGGAATGGATACAAGCCATGATTGGGATAAATAAGCATTCCTAAGTGATTTACAAACTTGTGTACAACTACCACCTGGGCCCTGTAAGTGTAGTGCTTGAGCCTACGCAGGACCTCAGATGGTGTCAAGGGAGCTCTGCTTGCGGGGTGCAGGCCTTCACCTGCAAAGATCAGAGTACAGAATAAGGCATTTCAAGCCAATGTGTCCAGGGAAAGGAAATTCTGAGCTGTTAAACAGACCCAAGCCAAAAGACGTCTCTGTATATATGGTAAGATAAGAGTAGGTGATAAAAGGTAAATGACAAAAGGATAACCTAACAAATACATGCAGAATAAAATCAAGAAACAAACAAAACATTTCCCAATGGTTGGTTATTTAAAATATGTTTTCCTTTAAAAACAGAGTTGCATGGAACCCAACCTAATGAATTGCAGCTGGAGAACCAATACAACTATAACGCCCTATGTGAACAATAACAATGAATATTCATACATATTCAACTCAATTTGTGAATAAACTAAAGAGTGCTTAGCAGCAATATTCAAATGTATGTTCAGTGTTTTAAATGGCGGTTATTAGCATCATAAACTTTAGTGACATTTACATGTCATTTCTCTACACTTCTATTTGATGTACTGCAAAAGATCTTGCATCTATCACTGGACCGAAAGCCGTGATATGAACTTCATATGAATCTGTGCTGATGTAACACATTAGAATTCGGCCTATTTTCCTTTGTTGGCCACCATGATCACTGTAAAGCATGCTAACACCTTGTATTTGAGGTTTTGCTTCTTTCTCTTTCTCACTGAGTTTGCTCCTTGTGATAACTCTACACATGGACAGAAATCAAAAATGAAGACAGGGACTCTGAACAGAGCAGCACTCGGAGGAATGATGCTCGGATGACTAGCCTCACCCCACTGAACACCTGTTCAGACGCAATACTTTTTTTCATGGGTTAATATTTATGCCTTAAGTGGATGTTAATCATTTGCTCAATATTTTGCTATTGCAAAAGAAGGGGGTGGGAGAGAGAGAAAAGGGTGTTATGAAGACACATTGCAGAGAACCAGAAATGAAGAGAATCCTTATTAGAGAAAAGTACCTTTTGGAGCCTCCGATGTAGGTGAAGGTAAAGGTGGAGTCTGAGTACCTGAAATCTGAAATACAGAAGTTGCATTTTTTTCCGTTTTCCTTTGCCCCCCCCCCCCCAATATCGGTTCTTCACACGGGTTAACAGGCAGCGGAGGAAGCTGCAGAGGGAACACCCCGCCACCCCCACCCCTCGCAACAAGTGCCCCGGTGCTATGGCAACGACAGGAATTTCCATTGTCAGTGACGGCAACAGGCAGCAACAAGCCGGGGCGCTGACTGCGAAGCAAGCGGCAGCCACCAGCAGACCCGGGGCAGGGGCAGGGGCAGGGGCAGGC